AAACAGTAGATGGCAACAGTATCTTCCTAATAACAACTCAAAGTAATAAAAAACTGCGGCTGCCAACCCGCTTGCCAAGCGTGCCAACTAAGTCGAAATCCATCCACGAGGCAATCTACGAGGGAGGCCGATGTTCATCAATGGTTGACTTTTATAGGTCTTAATGCATGGACTATGACTATGTTATAAGTATACGTCGAAAAAAATAAATTAAAATTTATTTTGCTTCTTTGTGAGTAGCACAACATAGTATGAAAAGAAGTCAATACGCGTATTGATCTATGAGCTTTTCTATGATATGGTAATACAAGTGCGCACGTAAAAATTTTTCCTAACAATGTTTGTTTTATTTAAACTTCTATTTTCCCCGTATTTTTGAATAGGTGTGTATATTCTGTAAAAAGATGAGAATAAACCACTATTTATCTATATATCTTTCTACTGCGTTTTGTTTCTGTCAATTCAATTCATTGCGAACAAGTGTTATAATTAAAAATTTTGTACAACTGACATTAAATGTAAATAAAAGGGAACGTCATCAATGTAATCGAAGTCAATTAAATACACATTATTAATTATAACTCAAAAACTACTGGTCAGATCTTTATCAAATTTATATGGTATCACAAAAGAAGCACTAGTATTCAAAAAAAAAAAAGAAAAAGAATCATCAAAATCCATTCACCTAGAAAAAGTTCTAAGGTAACACACATATAAAATGCAGTCAAATTGAAAACCTCCTCCTTTCTTTGAAGTCGGTTAAAAAAGGGCTATTATTGATACATTTTGGTTTAGTAAATTTTGAAAATCTGCTGAATCAAAATCTAAATTTAATAAAAACTTAATCTAATGTTCATTATGCAATTACGTGTTTGAATGGTTTACCATTAATATCATAATTTTTATGAAAACATGCGAAAAGAAAAGTTACCTAAATTATAATATATATATATACAGACTCATGCTTTTAAAAACAGTTACAATCGGTCCTCGACACAGAGGTGTTTTGAAATTGGGACTTACACAATTTGTATACAAGACAAAAAAAAATGAAATATAAAAATACGTATGTAAAAACTGAAGTTATTACAATGGGTCTCCGTCAGATCTCGCCTATTAACATAAGTCTATTATCTAATAACGTATTAATTTTTTCTGTGAGAAGAGTTAGTTTATTGTGAGAGTGCGGTCTTTCCCCGGTTGAGACGACCCGATTGCACTGCATCATAAAGAAAACTGCAGTTTTTTTAACATTTCATGTTTGAGTTGACTGTTTTCACTTTTCGTTCAGTAAATTCATTCATTCATTCATTAAATATAGCCTATCAGAAGTCCACTGTTGAATATAGGCCTCCCACAGTTTATCTCATGGGGCGGACATTTGCCATAGTTGCTATGAATCTTAGGTGAGCTGGCAACCGCTGTTGTTTTACTATTTCAAGTTGTGATCAGGAAGATATTGTCTAACCCCTGTTTACTTACCTCCATCGCCTCTCACGACACTGGGTGTATTTGTGAATTTTATAAGACCGGCACTTCACGGTAAAATAAAATGATCTTTTAATTGAATTTTTCATAATCATATTAATTTTTTGTGACGCTTTTTGGAGTTTAAATTCAAATACAAAAATAGTATGTAAGAGCGGTAACCTTGAGAGTAATTGTTTTATTAAAAATTCTAATTTGGTCCGCTTAAATATTCTACTATAAGTAAAATATGAGTAGCGATTGAATTTAATACAACCTTTTATACTATTTTATGGTTCAGCTGGTTAATTGGAAGTTTAAATTTAGCTTGTTAATTATTTAAGCTAGCTTATGTCATAAAAGAACGGTAAATTAAAAACCCTCATGAGAACGATCGATGTTTTACACATCGTTTGTTAGCAGACATCCGAAAACCAAACTGTCAGTTTAATAATATAACTTGACCTAATCTAGCGGCAGACAGAAAAAAGAAAATCATAGTTCATAAAAAGCTTAGGTGATTTATTAAAATCTCGTGCATGGTGGCAGATACACACTGGCTGAGAAAATATTACGAGTACGTAATGTTTTTAGTGCGGAAGTTTCGAATTTTTGTTTAAATTTTAAAGAAGCATTCCTCAAACATGTTTCGTTTTTCATCATAGTTTTTTTTTAATTAAAATATTTATGCTTAATAAGTACGTTCTACTACTTTAATTGTGCTCTTTGTAATTGCATTCCTTGTGCATTGCCTTTTTACATAAATTATATGTATTTAGAATTTTAGTTAGTTTTTACATTGTGAACTTAAATAATTACAAGTTCATTAAATTCAATGCAGCTTATACCAAAAAGGTAATCGATACCGTTATGGAAAAGTACTAAAAGTGTAAGTGGGAATACTAAATTCGTTTTTGTCGCTGGAAAAATTGTATAACGTTTGATCAATTTATTGGCACAAATATCTCTGTTTTTAATCTTATATTCGCCGATGTCAAGTGTTCTTAAAAATAATAAATATCACTTAACAAGCATTTGGTTGCGAGTCTGCGGACCGCGGGTTTGAATCTCGCTCGGACTTCGATCGGATATGTATCGGCTGTGTTGACGGACTGCTTTCTGTCTATGCTTGCCCATGCTTAATTTATATTAGTACAACACTTTAAACCTTTTTTATTTTATTACCTAAATGTCCTAGGTTGGTGAAGCTCACGTGACGTTAATTCATATTGTATTTTACAAAGAAGTAAATAAACATATCAGTTTATTGACACCTAACCTTACTCTATAAAAATTTGATAAAGATAGACTAGCATTATACACTAGTCCTATTAATGAATTAATGATTTTATTGAGTCGAGTAACTGCCAGACGACAGTATTGTTCAAGCCACGTAAACCGCGCTTTTTGACTTTTAATGGCACTTTTGAAAATGGTCTTTGATAAATTATTTTCTCATAATCGTCCATTTTCAGCAATACATTATTCAAAGGTTTCTATTAATTGATTTAAATAAAAAATTTATTCGCTATTTGGAGTAAGAAATTTAAGGTTTTTAACAAATAATATTCTACCTTGCGTTGTGTCCGAACGATCGAACAATGAAACCTAAAGAGAAAACTGTAGCTCGGACTAAGAATACCTATAAAAAAGCGATAGACATTGATTGTAACGTAAACATTCAGGGAGAACAAGCTTCTACTAAACACCGACCGCATATCCTCTTAAGTCCAGACGCAGCAAACTAACCCCGAACTTGAGTAACTTTTACAGTTTTTTCCCTAAAACCGTCAGTCGTTGAAGAAATGTTATCTGCCATATGGTATTATAATTAAAATTATAAATTAAAAAGCTACCACTAACAAGGCTTAACGTATTTTATTATATCATGCATAACAATGAAAATATTTTATTTCCTTCACGTAACTACGGAAAATTTAGTTTAATTATAATGCATATAGTTAGATGACGGTCGCTAATCAAGTTACTCATTAAGAATGTTAGACTAACCAAGCAAGGGAATGAATTATTGAGTCAAGTAATTAAAAAGGCTTTTATGAAATCTAATTGAATGCTCGGTATAAACGGTAGTTATAAAATATTTCTGTCATTTTAAATAGTCGCCTCTAAATAAAATCCCCGGGACGCAATGGGGTCAAAATCTTACGTCATCACCACAGCACGCCAATAAATATATAAATAAAAATAATATAACTTGTAGATACATTTAAAATATTTATCAAAATAATTATAAATATGGAAACATTTTTACAAATAGTGGTAAACGAATTCGATATATTCCGCCAACTAAACCTAACCTTGTTGTAAGCTTATATTCGCTGCTGGTAGGTTGGCAAATATTTGAAACTAATTGGATGCTGAATCAATAACGACTAAACGAGAAACAATATTCTAAAAAACACGCGGAAATTACTTAGCATACCATCAATTTCAATTTGGCTGTCTACGTTCCAAGTAAATATGACTTGTTCTTGTTTGATCAATCACTTGTACTTCTAATTAAACTGACAAATGTGTCTGAAATTAACATTCCATGTTGCATCCATGCCGTGATAATTGAAAGCGTAATAATACAGAAACGACTTAAAAAAATCCATAACGAATATTTAACTAACATAAGCGATAAAAAATTGATACTGGCTCATTAGCAGACACGTGGTAAAATAAAACTGCCGTCATTTAAAAGTAGTAATTTAGCCTTAAATTGTAAATGTAAGTAATGGTTCAGATATTTAAAATAAATTGACACATTGCTGATGATTCGTAAAGGACAAAAAACTGTGTTCATCACAAGAGGACGCTAGGTAATTGTCTTTTAGTTTTTGTCTGAAGTGAATTACTTTTAGTTTGGATTCTACTCGAGTGACATGCACAATCCAATTTTGTATTATTATATGTAATAATATCTTGAATATATAATTGTAGTATTTAGATAACCTTACAGAGTGAGATGCATAAATTATATTTTAAATCGATCGAAATTGTTATATATTTTACTGTTAGTAACGGTGAAAAGGTTTACGTCATTATTTTCCCTGGATACTGTGAAAATAAATAGCGGCTTCTGAAAGATTGAGGAGCAATCATCTTAAGGGTAATTTAGTTTAAAAATTTTGATATCGGGATCGAACTGTACAATACTTTTCTAACAATTAATAGTTAATATAACTACTTTTCTAAATAAGAAATAATATAAAAAATACCATACAACATGGCAAAATTTTATTTGATTTCATCTTGTTCCTCTCAAATAATTACTTAAGTCGTTTTCATGTTATCTTCTCTCTTATACTATTTTCACATAACTAGTTTGTATACATTTTTATCCGTTATGGTGTATCACTAATATTGAGTAAATAAACAATGACAAGCGCTCTGGCTGTCAAGCGTAGCAGACAAATCATCTTTAACGGTGAGAAAGTTTGTGTTCAGCCTGACGATGACAATGTATCATGTTGTATGTCTCAAGTTGACGAATACAGAAATGTATTTAGATTAAAATGTAACTTTACCTGGAGGTAGCTTAGATTTCAGCATGTCCATAGCAACAACGTTGATAACGAGCACCCATATGGGGCACTCAAGGAGATCAGCGTCCGATTTGACGAATGCTATGGCGCTTAAACATTGTGTCTCCAATCTTCTGCGATCCGGGTAAGAACGTCTTAATTCACGGTTCACGTTCGACTGGAATTTCTTCATGTCGAATAGCTGTAGACAAAAGAACCGATTATAATGATGGTATACTGTAAATAAGTGCCGTTTGGTGACGGACACTCTTCTTCTGAGGTTTATTTTGAAATTACAGAAAAAGCTTATACTTCAGATACAGTCATCAAAATATGCAGATCAGCGACAGCAGATAAGTGCAGCAGCGTTCAAGGTGGGAAACGTTATTATATCATCAATCCACCTGCAGCGTAACAGCGTAATCGTAGGGTCCATGCGTGGACTTTAGCAGGCTGATGATTATGATGATGATAATAAAATATAGACAAATATCTATAAAGATTTTTGTTATATTAGCAACTTACTGTCCCATTTTGCAATTTTTACAAAATAACTTAAATTATTGGCCTTTGTAAGAGAAAGTTGCTGCAAGTCTTGGGCAGTTTTGGTGTATACTGGAGTTCACAATTTTTAAATATTTAGTGACTACAAAAAAGCCAGTTGTATTTACAAAAATAGTCGTATATTTAAAAAGCATAACGGCTTACAGAAGGAAGAAAATCGAATTGTGCTGTGAATATTATAAACATAAAATATCAAGTTTTATTAATTCATAATTATTAACTGCTCAAATTGATTATCTTCATATACGAGTATATTATAATCGTTGGTGTATTTGTTAGTGAGCGTGTAACTTCTAAACGACTTAACTATTTGAGGTCGTGCTCACGCATTTTATACATAAATCTACAAGATTTTTTGACAGTTTTTATATTTGTTAAATATTGGAAGTGAGATCGAAATGAGACTAATCGCACCACCTATAGGAACAGTGTAGAAAAGCGTCTGTTAAGTTAGCTAGTATATTATGTAATTCAAAAAAGTCTGCCTAATATAAGATTAATCTGTTCTCTCATTTTGAGATGTTATCATTTTAATTAGACAAAACAACGCCGCCGTCGTTACCAATAAAATAATTGCTTTCTCAAACGATGGTGTGTTCATTGTGAATCATGTCTATCAAGTACAAATCATCGATGTTTGTTGTACTCGTAATAAAGAAAAAACAACAGTTGATATGCTGTTATCATATACAAAATAGAGTAAGTGACATGTTGTCACAATATAAAACATTAGATTATATATAATGATTTACGCAAGGAGTATACGAGTACATTCAAATAAAATTAATTTGATGGATTTTCTCGCGCTAAATATTAAATTAATTGAATGATGAATTCGTCCACACACAGCTGTATTTAAATAACTAAGTACATAAGTTTTATTTTCGTTTTCAAATATCGCCGTGAAAAAGTCTCTGAGAATAACGAGATACCAAGACAGTTTCATAAGTGGTTGTAAATTTTGACTAAGTAATACAAAACAAAATCTGGAATTTATAAATAAACTTCGTTACAAAATGGAACCCAAGCTTCTCGCCATCCTATCGAAGATATTAAATAAATTGAATGGGCTATATTGTTATTACATAACAAATGCACATCTTCGGTTACTGCGGTCTGTTGCATCAAGATGTCCATCCAAACGCGACTAGACATCGGACAAAGTAAAAAGAGATGTCGATCGTATCTACAAAAAATTGCCGCTCACCATATCGATAAGTCATTGGGATAGGAGGCTGTCGGTGATGTAACTGATTTGATTTAGAGAACTTTAATTATTAATACTATGCATAACGTCATTGTTTAATTAAAACTATAGATGGAACTACTGGTTCCTTATTGTGCCCTGGCGATTTAGAAAAGCCTGGTAAAATATGGATATTGTAGAGTAACGCTTGTTTTCTTGTATCGGATGCGTGCGAGTAACGCATATATATAGCATGAATAACCATTTTCTAAATGTTTGTCTGTCTGTCTGTATATCCGGGTTGACTGCCTCGTTGGTCTAGTGGTTGTAGTAGTGCGACTGCTGATCATGAGTTACTGGGTTCGAATCCCGGGTCGGGCCAAAAAATCAATTATTGAGTTTTTTCGTTAAGAAATTCTCAGTAGTTCCCGGAGTCAGGAAGTTGGCGGTGTTGCCCCCGTGCCCGGAGCACGTGCCGTTGGTGCTGCGCCTGATCTCTCTCCGGTCGTGTTGGTTTACCGTCCCATCGGATTATGAGAGTGAGGGAAGAGAGAGTGCACCTGTGCTTGCGCGTACACTTGGTCACTATAATCCTGTCCTGCGCTGATGGCTAGCCTCCGTTGAGGCAGGCCTCCGTGGCCGAAATTCGGTCTGTATGACATTATTACATACATACATAAACACTCACGCCTGTCACCCAGAGGGGTAGTCAGAGACTACAGACTTCCATTTAGCACGATCCTGACATACCTCTCTCGCCTCTTCCACATCCACGCATACGTGCTCGTCGGTTAAGGGTACTCTTAATTTGGCCCATTTTTAGTATATCGCCAATTTGGTCGACAAACTTTCGCCTAGGACGTCCCCTTCACTCTTCCATTCACTTCTGCAACATATATTTGCTTTGTCAGTCTTTTCTCATTCATTCTTTCTACATTTTTATTATTATTATATCCGGGCTAATTCGGATTTGGCGGAATGATTGTAAGAAACATCACGAACAGATGGAGAGCGATGCCAGGAGTGGTCGAGGTTATATTTTATTCGAAAAAATCGAGACTTTTTTAAATAACTAAAAACGGATGATATAAATCGTCGTTGACTATCGTTAAACATACTATAGCACCATTAATAGATTCTAACCAGGGGGAGGGGTATTTTTGTTAAAAATATTAATCAGGTATATGATATCTATATACAATGATATCTTTACACATTGAGAAATAGACTTAATCATTTTTTCATGATAGCTGTAAACGATAGCTCATGAAGAAGTTAATAATCTAATAAGGATTGTTTTTAGAAAATTAGTACGTATCAGATGGACTTATAATCTTTAGGCGACATAGATGAAGACGACAACATTGTGTTTCTTTAATTTACTCTCAAGGGAACTTAACGTGAGAATTGTAAAGTATCGCACGAAAAAATCTCGAGGATCAGCGGGTTTCAACTCTTTCAACATTTTGTATTGTCTGCAAATTACTAATAAGTTGTTAAGAAATACTGATCCACAGTAATATTCTTTTTTTGAATGATCAGAATGGATTTCAGTAAGGACAACGCCAACATTTCGTACGAGTTTATCATTTGGTCTTAGAAGAATCTTCATCTGTAAATAATAATACGTTTTATTTAAATTAAAAGTGAGTCAAATGAAGATTTATATTTTTTATTTTTTCAAACTTATTTCGCTTAAAACTAGCTATCTAGGTTAAACTGAGAAGATACGAGGTTTCAGATAATTTATTTCACATAAGAATTGCAGTCACTTACATGAGAAACATTAATAAGATTATAGAGCAAGATCCCAAGGCCCCCAGACGTCACTTATTTTCTGACGAATGAACTGTGTAAGATTGGGTAGTGTTAGTATGTATTATGATCGCATGCCTACCTGCTAGCTTGACTAGATGGCGATTTTCCAGGTATAAGGTTCGTTCATTCTCCCAGCTAATTTTCACGTATATGTTATAAAATTAAATATCAGTCATCAATACTCCTAGATACGAGTACTTTCCTTCGGCAGTATCGCTTTGCAGACGCTTTAAACCTCTCAAAAATTGTTAAATTTCACTTACATTTTGAAGCTCCATTTAATATTTTTAATCGAATTTTTTAAACTATTAATAATTCACTGACATCAGTAAAGTGTAAGAGAGAGATAGAGAGAGAGGTCAATAAAATACTAATACATGTCTCACTCACGCTTATGCCCTTGCGCTCATACTCATCTCGAGCATTAAAATTAGGTCTAGGGAATGATTGACCCCTTGGATCGGTCTGCCTTCTCGTAAAACGTTTTAAAATAGTTGTCTGGCTATCATATATATGAGGTGAGTAATGCTTGTATACGTACCTTGATTACCTGATACCTGGAAAATGGCCTTCTGCCCAAACTAGCAGGTAGGCATGCGATTATAGTACATACTGACATTACTCGCGTACACACGTACATACTTACACGTTTCGTTCGTCAGAAAATTAGTGACGTCTGGATTCCCTGGGATCTTGGACAATTAAAAGATGTAGTGTGTGCAAAAGGGACTAACTTCATTTTCGTTTAATATACGAGTATCATGGCCCGATCGTTTAATTGATCACTTTAACATGTGCCCAAATATTGCATGAAACGCCTTTAGCCAAATATTACTGGTAATATATTTTAAATATCAATGTTTGTCTATTTTTCCATTCATGTTTTCCAAAGGTCATAAATAAAGAAACATTTATCAAGTAATATTGCGGCTGGACTGTGTCGTGTTGATGGTTGTTGGGTTTAGGGTGGCCCAAGAACTATAATAGTTCATCTTTAAGCCGCCTACATTAAAAATTAGGCACAAAGTGCTATGGTCTCTATTATATAATTTCTACGCTACCAGTGTCCCTAGCAGTGGATAATGGAAGCTTTTTATTATTTATTATTATTATTTTTTAACATTGGTCACATTATGAAGCAGCTATGCATTTGGTTGATCGCATCATGTTGTAGACAATACACAGTGTAATATATCATGAAATGGTTGGGCTTCATGAAATGTTCAGGTACTTCATGATGTGTTGAACGATCGAGCTCTGACACAATATATATTATAACATAAATATTTTATGCAAATATATATGATATATAAATAATTATAAATTAAGTATCCAGATGCGAATAAAGAAAGCCAATTACCTAAGTAAATAAAGCCAATTACTTAAGTAAATATCACGATGGAAATGCCTTGAAATAGTTTCTATTAAACTAAACTGGTTAATTTATCTCATACATCGTTAGAGTCCGCTTACGTTAATCGAACATGCAACAAAGACCTTTCTCTAAACGATATTTTATCTCTTACTTTGATGAAGGAATTTCTATGGCGTTGCATCCATAAATTGTTGCAATATGTAGGCTACAGACAATACGCATTTCGCTATCTACGAATTCGCTTTCATTACTCTCAAGGAAACAGCATTACATACAAACAAATAAGTGAGGCAATGACCATTCTTTCCCTTGCTTCATAGCACTATCTTCTCACATTGTTCGCAGCTGCTTCTTACGTAAAACATGGTAGTTAATGGTGTATGAATCACTAACGAATCTCTTGTGTTGTACACTAGGAAGTGAATTTTGTATTGTTTGATTCGACCTGATTATTTTGGACTGTTTCCGGATTATGTGCTATAAGTTGTATGCTTAAGGGGAAATATAACCTCAAATGGCTTAGCAAGATCCTCCGTTATGCCGAAAGTATTGCAGCATTAATTTTGAAATAAATATATGGTAAAGTTGAGGATTAATGTTAAGGTTTATGTTAGACGAAAACACGATTCCGTAAAATTTTCTCGATAGAAAAAAAATCCAAAGTTACCTCCAAACTGAACAATAAACCGCTGTTATTCATAAAATACTTTAAATAAGATCATGAAACTTTGCATACTAACTGAACTAACAATAAAGCAGTGCTTATGTTATTTACTTTTTTTAAAATATCATTATTTTCACTGTAAAAAGAAATTACCTAAACTATCGGCGCGTAAGCTTGGTTCCTGTCGCTCCGTTAGTATTGCTCCGGCTTTTGAAGGGAGAAGTTGTGTCGCTTACGATCAGAAAACACATTACGCAACAGGAAGACGTAAAATTAAAATGGGAAATAACCGTTATAAAAATAAGAAGCGACTGGGTTGGCGTTAAGAAACAGGCATATATATGATAAACATAATGAAATAAGTATCTAACGACCTATCTACTTAGAGTATTAGTGATTACAAACATGTCGGTACATAGCATACGACGCGCGGGGAAGTGGGGGCGAAATTAGAATTTGAGCTGACTTACTCTCACCTCTTAATTATTAATTGTTACTATAATAATTCATTGCAGCCTACCAAGGTCCATCGCTAAACATACGTTTCCATAGACGGCCACATAAGAGAGTTATTGGCCATATTTGCCACGCTTGGCAACCATGTTAGAAACTGAAGTTTTTAATTTTCTACTTGCTATTAGAAAGACGCTGCAGACTATTTTCTGGTTTATTTATTTTTGTCGCCTCTTAAGATACTCATGGGACGATTAAGGTAGTAGATATTCTTCACCACTACAATACAGTAATCATATATTGTTTAATGATAAAATTGGAATTAGGCGAATAAGTATTAGTAAAATTTGTAATAGAAAAATTATACGTCCACTAAAGCCAAAAAATGAATAAGGTTCGGCAATTTGAGAATTTTGTAAGATCGTCAACTAAAAAGCAATAATGTAGCAATGTCATGGTCAACAGCATAAGTCGTGCCCGAATGCAGGGAGTCGTGATGCACAAGGAATTACCACCGCGTCACACAATGCATCACGCATTAAGAGTAATGTTCGGACTGTTAAAACTCTTCACAGATTATTGTCTTAGCCACTAATGTACGACAAAGAAATTATAGTTATAGGGACGTCTATAATTTAGGTAACAATCAAAAAAGCTTTTAACGACGTGGAAGTTATAAGTGAGATATTGCCTTTCTATTGCTGATGCATTGTGTTACGAAAAAATTCTCTTTGATGTACAATTATAGTAAATTTGTATTACAATCACGACTATCACTTTGATCAGATCACAGACACAATTCATGTAAAGGAAACAGCTCGAACGTGATAAAGATGTAACACTTATCCATATCCAGTCGTCCTTGCATTTACGTTTTACCAGTAAATATAAAAACAATGTTAAACATACGGTTGCCTATAATTTGAATATTGCCCGGGGCAGCCACAGCTTCCTTATTGAAAAAATCATCTTATTTTAATTAACATCGCTGAGAAGCGACTCAAGTTATTACGAGAGCTACTAAGAAATTAATAGACCAAGTTTCGTCACACAAGTGCGGTCATATTGGAGGAAATGAATCTTGGTAACACCCATTCGGGTCTGCTTGTCTTAAGCCCAAAGCTAATTGCCTTTGCGTTTAAAGGTAAGCTCATCATTTACTCGGAAATTTTGATGCAATAACTTATGTTTTGAAACTAATGAAATTTCTTTATGACAAACAGTAAATACATAGCACAGATATTTAGTTTATATATACTACTAAAACCGTGGTAGCTCAGATGGTTAACGCTCACCGTAAATATAACAGAATGCGAGTAACTCGGGTTCGATCCCCGTCGTCACAAATGAAATTGTTAATTGCAATTTTAAGTGCTGATTTAACACATGCTCGGCGGTGAAGGTAAACATCGTGAGGAAACCTGCATGTCTGAGGAATAAGAATTTTTTTTTCGAAGACGTGAAGTTCGTCAACACGCATTGGGGCAGCGCGGCGGACACTTCCTTGCCCTAAAACACTCTCAGAAATGAGGGGAGGCCTGTGCCCAGCAGTGGGACGTACCTATAGAGGCCGAAACTTTTTTATACTACTAAATTATCAGTAAAATTATTAAAGTATATTTTTTCATCATCATCATCAGATGGCTGGTCTCCGTTCAAGACTGGTCGCCGTGACAGGAATTCAGTCTGGAGAACAATATTATTTCATCATGATTCATTATTTATAACAGTTTTATCAAATTCCAATGCTCAACATAGATCAGTTTTATTTACTATTTTAAACTGTTGTATCGAAGAGGCTATGGCCAGGCCAGGCCCATCTTCTGTTTCAGTTTACCTCTGTCCCCTTTTATGACACCCACGGGATGATGTGGATTGTCTTTCAATACCACTACTCGGCAAATTCCATTAAGATAAATAGTAAATACACATTGCGTATTATATAGATGCGTAGTATATGCATGCTACTGACTTAACAGTAAAATGTGTTAATTGAAAAGATTTTTTAAAAAACACCAAGGTTTATAACTTAGGTTGTTTATTAATTTCAAAAAGCGTACATAAGTTCTTCATAAAGTATTGCACGCCTAAAGCAGGTTTCCTAACGATGCTTTTTTTCAACGCCGAGCACGTGATAAATCAGCACTTAAAACTGGAATCTAAATTTTTCTAGGTGCCGGCAGAGTCAAGTTATTTGTCACCCGGAGCGCTCGTAAACTAATTGTTTAATTACAGCGAGCACTAAGCCCCTGAGCAATCTTGCATGTTTGACAAATAAAAAAAATCGAGACATTTGAAGTCCGTCCCGTAGAAATAAGAGGAGGCATGTGCCTAGGAGTGGGTACTTTACGCTTAGGGCAAACTATAAAGTGAACTTAACCACACACAAGAAAATGAAATAAATATCTATCGAAATGTTAATAATTAAACTCACCTTAAATATTTTTTCTTGTTCCAACGAATAGCCGGGTAGCTTCATTATATCTTGACCTATCGCCGTCTCTTCGTTACTTGTGGCTGCGGTACTCTTCACAAACACACTACTCTTGGAGTAGCGTCTGATGAGTATGTTACCGGCGTCGTCCATTTTTATTTTGACGCCCTGATGACAAAATAAAAAATTATATAAAAAATAATGTATAATTTAAGTGTAACTCAATTTCCTCTTTTTATTGCTTACCTGTTCCAGTGCTTGACTGCTCTCACATGGTAGAAAATGGTGGAAAATGGTAGGAAATGGAAAAGTTCTTTATGATAATTCGTACTGTCTTGGCGTAACAAAAGTCTATTCACCCTTGTCTTGAAGACACCTAAATTATAATCGAACATAAAAACAGACGCCGTCAAATTATTCTACTCTTGCCGTACTTGTAGCGAAGTTTTTTTGAAATAATGCACGATGAAACAAGTCGTTTGGTTTAAATGCGTAGAATAACGACGACAAAGGAATGAAGAGAAACATACGCTGAGTTCTACCAAGTAACGTATGAAGATCTGTTGATCGTGTGATAGGGTGAGATTAAAAAAGTCAACTAAATAATATAGTGGTGGGAGGCAGTAATACCATTGCTATTCACGCCTGTTTCAAGTGTTGAATTTTGGAAACTATTTTGATGCGTATCTTTATATGGTAGAGCCACGCTGCAGCTCTATGATGGCCGCAGCACGTTTAGCACGTTTAGGGCAGAACCACGCTCTCACAGAATACCAGTGTGGAGCAGTAGAATTCTGCTGCCGTGTTTTGTACGGTGAGTGTAGAGAAATGAACATCCTTTTTACTTTTAACGAGGCACTCCATCTTCGTCCCAAGAGTTGAAAACGCATCTTTCTTTTGATTTTGATAAGATACATAATACATAGAATTATATGAGCCACAGCATCCACGACGTGTGCTCGGTTGTTACACTTATTCTATAAAAAAATACCAACTAGTATTTGCTTAGAAAACTTATGGTCTAGCGATTCACTTAAGCTAAATAATGGCTGGGATTAAATTAATTTGTCCGGTATATAGATCTAATCAACAATATGGCTATTTGCAGGTATTATTGATGGTATATTTCGTTATGCTCCTTGAAGTGTCAAGTACAAGGTAACTGATTTTACAAACATCAACTTTTTTTATTAGTTCCAATTACCATTTGACCTATGATGTCACTCATGTTTATGAGCTTGAAGATTGTTGGAGCAGATTTTTTTAATAAATTGTAGGCATTGTTGATTTATTTGGGTTTTTTTTGATGAGGTAACTAAAATAACTTAAAAAAAAAGAAACTACATGACTTTTTTCATTCATATTTTTGTAAAAATCATTATCGGAACGAATCATCCATTCTTTTCTGATTTATTTTGAAATATCACTAAGATCTTAAAACACGAGAATCGTCACCATTAACGAAAATACACATTATTTCGTAATATATGGCGAAATTTCTAATATATTGCGAAGTAATATGTAGTAGAGCCACGCTGTAGCTATATTATGGTTGTAGTACGAATGGGTCGGCTCGACCGGAGAAGGACCACGCTCTTACAGAATACCAGCGTACAGTAGTAGTTTAATAATTTTTTTCGTATGGTGAGTGTAGGGATCCAGAGACCCTTTTTTAATGGAAACGAGGTAATCCATCTTAGTCCTCAGGGGTGACAACGCATCAGCGATTTGACTCTTAATCGAGGATAAATGTAGATGTCTATGGGCCACAGCATCCACTTACCATCAGGTATACTGTGTTCTCGTTTGTCACTCTTATTCTATAAAAAAGCCATTTACGTCGTCTATTTATCTCACATTAATTACGGACTTCACATCACGTTGTAACAATATGGAAAAAAACGCTTATTTTCCTTTTTATAAATCGTTATACCCTACATTAGGATTTTGTTCTGTATCGTGAAGGCCTCTTTAATGTAAAAATAGCGCATTTCCATACATTCACATCCAGGCCAAATATTTATAGGTCATATATACTCGTGTTCCGTGTGAAATTCGATCCTGCGTCCCGTAATGACGTACCCAAACTCTTAGCCACTGAACTGCCGTGCCGTTAATCTTTTTAAAATTAACGGTAATTAATAAAATCGAACAACGCTCTTTGTCCAATTTTTTATATATACATTGTCTCATTCATTTGCTTCAATAGCACGGCGACTTCCTCTTTAATGTCTATTTATATTTATCGATATCTGTATACTTATTTAAATCGGGTTTTTTAATGTATTTAACGTAACATGCTTACTAGTTTGGGGCGTACCGTTGCCGGTAGCGGAAAATATAGCAACATTAATGAAACATAGTTAATTGTCGCGAGTTTGTTTCGAATGCCGGTGGCTCACCAGTCCGTGGATAATGAATTCGTGTAGAAACCAGTGGACTATTTAGTCACAGATAATACTTATATTGCGGTACAACAAATCAAACCGCACTGGTGATATTCTAGATTGATTATGTTGAGCTCCTAACGCAATATCACTAAATGACCATTGCGAATCATTTTAAATCAAACTTTTGGTGAAGCGTATTCATGTCGTTTATAACCTTAATCGCGAAATTATTTTTGATTAGTATTACGATTAAAATACATTATTATATTTTGATTATTTTAAAATAAGGGTGCAGCAGCTAATCGTAAGGGGGTTTGTTAGCTCGGTTTTAAATAACCAAATATTTATGTATTGTATCGAGTGTGATTCGAATTCTGAGACTAAGTCATTAGCCAAGTACAGTCATCACTAGGCTAAATGGTAATCAAAATTGATAAAAATCAATATAAATGCATCGTTTTTAGTGATTTATTATATTTACGCAAACACTAGACATTAATTAAAACTATTTTTACGGATATTATAGCGTTTAATTTATTTGACTTTTAATTCCCGATGTTTCGGGTGCTTTCCAGCACCCATGGTCACGGGGTGCCGAGGTGACTGACGTCCCGATGTCAGTGTTAACCCGGAGTACCTTCAGCTTTTTATTTATTATCATTTTCAGTGTAAACTACTTTAAAATAGCTAAATCTATTTTCAATTGCATGATATTATTTCATTATCATTATTAGAGCCATCGTCATTACATTCTTTATGCGTCTTTAAGCGTCCAAGCGGGCGTAAAACAGGGTTGTGTCATGTCTTCCTGGCTGTTCATACTGTATCTCGACAGCTGTTTACAGAAGCTGAAAAATAGATGTTTGGGTGTGAAATTGGGTGACATAAAAGTTAATTGTCTGCTGTATGCTGATGATGCATTGCTTATTGCACCATCAGAAGCAGAACTGCAGGCATTAGTCACGTGTATGAAAGAGGAATGTGAAATTAAAGGTCTCCGTTTGAATGCTAATAAAACTAAGGTTCTGGTATTTGAAAAGGACGAAGAGAGAACGAAATGTGAAATATGGGTAAATCAGGAACGTCTAGAACAGGTAAATGAAATTGTATACTTGGGGAGTGCTTTCAGCCGGGATGGAAGATGTGATTTAGATGTGGATAGGCGCGTCGCTGCCGGAAACAAAGTTAATGGTGCCCTGAATGCATTAGTCAAAAGGCAAGGCGTGGTGAAGAGTGCACGCCTTGCAATATATAACGCAGTGTTGGTACCGACTTTGTTATATGGCAGCGAAACCTGGGTATGCCAGAAGAAGCATAAAAGCAAGTTGAATGCAGTGGAGATGCGATCTCTTCGTAAAATGTGTGGCGTTACCATAGCCGATCGAAAGCGAAACGAAGAGATTCGCAATATGGCAGGATTGAAAGATGACCTTATCACAAAAATTGATAGGGGCGTACTCCAATGGTTTGGGCACGTTGAGCGAATGAGTGAAGACCGAATGGTGAAGAAAATATATAGAGCGAAAGTAAATATTAAAAGGTGTCGAGGTAGACCGAGACTAACTTTCGAAGACCATGTGAGCAAATTGCTCGAAGAGGGGGAAGGTCAAGAGTACTCGGATACCTATGCATGTATGAAGAAGTTAATGAACCTGAAAGAAGCGAAAGAGGTATGTAAGGATCGTGACACTTGGCGATCTGTTCTCTCTGGCTACCCCGTTAGGGATTGTGCGTGAAGATAAGTAAGTAAGTCATTACATTCTGTCGAATGTCCACTAATGGATATAGCCCCCCTCGTAGAGATTCTTTTGGGAGATATTTGCCATAGTTGCCACTCATGGTATGTTTTCATTATTTACTTCTTATCAGAAAGACGCCGCTGCCCATCTCCTGCTTCAATATCTCTCTGTCGGCTCTTATCAGATCTGCTGAATGATATGAATACTTGATTCTCTCACGCCGCCACTAGATAGTTAAATATCTTCATAACGTACTGTTTACGTCACTGACATTAAAAGTATTTAAATTGACAAAGATAAGACTATGTTCGTTATGTTACATTGGTCATAAGAAGTCATAGGTTACTGGAAGTCCTCCAAAAAACCAGTTATTTTAATGTATTTCCCTGGACGATTTAGTAGCATTTAATATATTCTCATTCATGTACTGTTTTTGTATTGGTGACATCAATATACGTGTTACGTCGCCGTGAGACTTGTCACAAGGGTCATTAGGTCTAATAGGAATTGTTAATACTTATTTACATAGTTTCGCACGTTTTTCGTTGGTTAGGTTTAGGCTTAGGCTCAGGTTAGGCTTTATAAAGAGTTGTTGAATATTTGAAATTTTATAACAAAACTTGATATTTTACCGATGTAAGTTAACTATCTAAATCTAGATGTAGTGGCGGTGTAAGAACATCTACAACCCTATATTGACCCGTGAGGGTTGTAAGAGTCGAAAAACGCAAGCAAACCTGAAGATAGGTGGCAGCGCCTTCCTAATAATTAACAAAAAAATAAAATACTATGGTTGCTAACCTGCCTGCCAAGCGTGGTAACTATGGCAAATCTCTGTGAGACAATCTATGGGAAGGCCTGTGTTCAACAGTGGGCTTTTGATAGGCTGTAACGGTAACGGTAACGGTAACAGTATATTCTACTGTAAATCTAAAAGAAAACTAAGCTAAAATATATAATAATGACCTCCAGACTGAATTTCGGTCACGGCGGCTTACCTCAACGGAGATTAGACATTGACAGGTTTATAGCGCCCAAGTGTATGCGCAAGCACAGGTGCGCTCTCTATTCCCTCACTAAAGTAATCCAATGGGACCGTAAACCAACACGTGCAGAAAGAGATCAGGCGCAGGACCATCGGCTTAACGTGCCTTCCGAGGCACAGGGGTGAGACAACGCCAACTTTCTGACTCTGGCAGCTATTGAGAATTTCTCGACGGAAAAACTCAATTGATTTTTTCGTCTGATCCGGGAAACCAGGACCTCATTATCAGCAGTCGCACTACTATAATCACTAGACTAACGAGGCAGTCAAATTTTTTTAAGAATAAGTTTCAATACAAGACATCAGTAATATTAAATTTTAAGTGCTGATTAACTACGTGAAATGTAAAACCTTTTGGTGAAAATGTGTAGTCCGCAATCGCGCATTGAGCCTACGCGGATTATTCTCTCCTCCAAATAACCTTTCTTGAAATAAGTAGTGTGCTGTATACAGCAGTTAAAGTTAGTGGAGGCAGATACTTTTGTTTAATAATATCTAAATAAAATAATATTATATATGCACAGGTGACAAAACAAGCACACAATAAATTGGTGGTATGCATAGACACAACTTTTTTTTGATTAAAAAATCTATTTGCAGATGCTTAGTCACCCCTGAGGATTAAGATGGAAAAATGATTATTGTTTTGTGAAGACAGTCGCCTGTTCTCGTTACTAACCATACAAAACACAGACGCATTATGCTGCTATTTTAAGCTTGTATTTTGTTGTTATGAAAAATAAACGTTATTTACCTGGCCTATGTGTTTTTTCACTTCTTCTGTCTTCGGATCTCTGAGTGGGTTGTCAAATCCGCAAAGGCCGATTCTGCAAAGATAGAAAATATAATATTAGCAAAAGCAACAAAGAGTTATATTCAAATCACGGAGATCGTATATTTTTATGTGATTTCTGCATAGCTTGGAACGTGGCCAAGCAAATTTAGAATAATTTAAGATAGGTAAAACCCCAAAGATTAAAATGCCATTTGTTTCAAAATGACTAATGCGTAAACAAATGCCACTTTTATATACAACGCTTATAAATATAATATTAAGAAAATAAACGATAAATAACTTTAAAAAAATTACTTTACACCAAATTTCACATAAGTAGACACGAAAAAAGTTTAGTTTGTAATTAGGTTCTCAAGTCACAAATTAAGAATGTTGAATTGAAAAGAATGGTGAATTAAGAATGACATCTAAGGAATTTGTCATTCATCAGCATTACAACCACGTGCCGTATCGGAATATTGTTTTCTGAAAACCGTTCTTTGCGTTACCCTGAGAACGTTTACGTTGTCTGCTCATTGACATTCATGTAATGCTGGTAGGTTCCTGACGGAGCTTACTGATTGGAAATTTCTATTCGATTCTTAAAGCATAGTTCGAGAATAAACCGTTTTCTAATCACCGATAGAGGCGTTAACTTCGATGGTTTTGTAAGCGATTACCGTACAATCGAAAGTTGGTCCCTAAATTTTCTAATCGCGCTAGGAATTTAAATGGTAGACAATAATATTATTACGCAAATAAAAATGTATAAATTAACTATATATTTGTAAGTTTTATTAAGATTTAATTTCCAAGTTTTATCACAAAAACCAAAATACTATCATGACTTTACTGAATGATCTTCATCAATTGATGTTGATTCTTCTATTCTGAAGCGCATTTTACAGTAGTATAGACTAAACGATTATTCAAATTAATAAATATAGCATTAATAATCAATCAGCAGATCATCGGTGCCAACAGTTTAAACTGAGAGAATGAGATTTTGCGACAAAGTTTGCTCACAAAGTTTATATTTGTATTTAAAATATCACTTTATAATCGGCAGATCCTCAAGCCAAACGGCTTAAACAGGATAAAGGAGTTGCAGATCAAAGTTTATACTATCTCGGAGTGTCACTACATGACATCTGTCACAATATAATTTATGCCAGCTTATCACTATAATTTTATCATCTATTATATTACAAAATCGCAATATTTGATACTAATAACATTTTCTTCATATAACATTTCTCATAGTTGCCACTCTTAGCAGGCTGAATGCCAATCATGCTTGGAAGGAATTGGTGTTCTTTAGTGAGGATTTGTGGTCTATTAAATCTGATGTAGTAATGGGGGCGATCCTTTACGTGTTCACAGACTGCAGAGTTCATATTCTTTCCAGAAAAGAAGAAGAACACCGATTTGTTCCAAGGATGTTTCGCGAGGCTATTGAAATCAAAAAACATCCTAATTTCAATAAAGAAGATGGCTGGGTGCTACCATTTGCTTGGGGTCCTATAATTAATAGAATTAAATCCCAACCCAAGCATACAACTGCAAGACTTCAAGATACTATAAGTTCATACTACGTAGATCGGAACAAAAATTAATAATTTTAATATGGAGGTAGCCGTGGTTAACTATGACATTGGGACGTCGAACATCACAAGCCCCTCCGTGACCATGGGTGCTGTAAAGTGCTCAAACGTCGGGAAAATAATAAAAATAAGTTAATATACGGTCATGTAGAAAGAATGAATGGGGAAAGACTGACAAAGCAAATGTATGTTGCAGTAGTGAATGGAAGAGTCGGAAAGGGACGTCCTAGGCGAAAGTTGATCGAACAAATTGGCGATATATTAAAAATGGGCCAAATTAAGAGTACCCTTACGCGACGAGCATGTATGCGTAGGTATATGGCTGTAGTCTCTGCCTACTCCTTTGGGTGTCACCCAAGTGAGTGAGTGAGTGGCGTGAGTGTTTATAAGTATACGCGACAAAATCCGTAAAAACTAGTTTTTTTTTTGAATTTATATATCTTGTTGCAGTGTAGTGGCGGCGTGTGAAAATCGACTAGTCACTCCATATCCACAATGTGTATGTCGAAAGAGAAGACAGAGGGAAATTGGGGATAGGCAGCAGGGTCTTCCTAAAACTCAATAAAAATTAAAAATTGTAGCAAATATCCTCCCCTCCCCCTCCCTGAGGCTATAATATAAGGATATAATATATGAATATAAGTTTTGCATCGTAACATTGTTTTTTTTTATTTAGAAAGTGAATTTGATTTTGCATTAAGCGCTTAGCCGTTATCGCCAATCTTGGATTAAATCGGAAATTTTATCCCTCATTTCATTTTGTGCGTTCCTCCCTCACGTAATATTCAGGTCTATTTTCGCATTCGAGTTTCACCTAGACGAGAATGTGTATATGTTGGATTTTTATTCTTCATTAACACTGTAAGACATTGACGTCGTTATTAAGAACGAATTTAAAATAAATATAACTATAAATATATAATAATTATTAAATGTATGGGACCGATCATAAAAATAGCGATTACAGATGAGCCTCTTGACTATATCAATTTTAATCTTCGTAGATATTCTTACATTTTCATATCTTTTGCTACAAGGAAGTAAGTATTTTAAAGCTGGACCTCATTCTCAGACGACAGCAAAAATAATATAGGATAATTCGAGAACAAATTAATTTGTTGTGCGGTGTATCGATGGGTCGTCGAACCAGTACACAGAGGCGGCTGGCGAGCGGTGAACGGCGGCCTTGACGCGTGACTTGCGGTGCAGCCCATTGCTACTGTGTCATTTCTCGCGCGTGGCGCCCTCTCCTTTGTACTGATTGAATGATAATTTTTTACAAGCCTTTATATCGTAGCTTGGCGCCCGTTGTTAATTTTAAAGTACGCGTGCAATTCGAGTTCGATACATGTTGGTACCAATGAAACTGTATTTTTTTGAGGGCTGGTTTAGGATGTGCTTGGCGGTGAAGAACTTTCACGTCTAAGAAATAAAATAACTGCATAGCTCGCTCGCGGAAGTATAAAGGCTGTAACTTTTGCACTCCTCGTACGCAAAGCGAGGGAGTCTATCTAACTTGAAAAGCCACGCTACCCGCTCTCCTTGAATTCGGTACATTATTTGTTATCGAAGAGTTTATGGCTTTTCATCATCATCACGATCATTACAGCCTTTCACAAGTACACTGTTGAACATAGGCCTTCCCCAAAGAATGCCACAAAGCACGGTCCTGAGCTATCTGCATCGTATGGCTTTTATGGGGTAATGAATAGAAGGTATTGTGTGTCTTGTTAATGGACGCCACACACGGTCAGTTCAATTGATCATTCCAACCGATCAGTTCAAACTAAAACTGTTGATATTTTTTAAAATATTGAATTTTTGATACATTGATAATTATAAATATATCAATATCGAAGTTTTATACATAAGTTTATTTATAGATATATCAAAAATCCAATTTTTAAATATATTAACAGTTTTAGTTCGAACTGATCAGTTGGAATGATCAGTTGAACTGACCGTGTATGACAACCACAATACTTAGTTGAATGGCGTATACATTTAATTTTAGTGAAATTTACGTCGTATTGAGAGAAAGATAATCGCTCACCCTATATCTTCCCGTGGATGTCGTAAGAAGTGATTAAAGGAAAGACCAAAATGACCTTGTGTTTTCAGAAAAATATATAATTTCGTAAGACATATGTGAAACACTCAAAATGGCGACGTGGTGGATCGTTAACGGTTCGAAATCGGGTGCTGTGATCGCTAATTCACTTAATATTGCGATCGGGAGAAATCCTTTCCAAGATTCGAAGAGGTTCATGTTCAGTTTGCACATTTAGTACCTGATATAGAAGAAGAATGTATATTACAAATCAACGTCATAACGTGACTTTAAGCACTACGAGCGGTGTCATCTATCACGTTATTCACGTGTTTATAAAATCACCAAAAGTACGAGTAGGTCGCGTTACACTTAACAAGGTAACTTACAAAGCGAATCTCATTTCAATATTACTATCAAATATGCCGTCGTAATCTCGTCTAAAATTGTATTGCGAGCATTGATGCATTTCAAAAACCACATAGCGTTTGTCCAGGGTCAAGCGTGACTGGAGTCAAGGCACTGTCGTATAATGAAATGGTTAGGAACAGTGGACTCGTTAATTCGATATTGTTCCGTTATCTATTTCAATTATGTGTTATTTCGTCATTAACCATTACAGTCACGAACGGCCTAATGAAATTGTAGTTCGGGCATGTAAATTATGGCCACTTCTGATTAATTACATACTTGGTGCGAGGTAGCGATAGTTGGTAGAAATTATTCAATTGTAGCCTTGGAAATTAGATTGGACGTATATTGGTTTATTTTAGATAAAATGCGCCTACTTTCTTAGTTTAGAGAGTTCTAGAGTAAGTAGATTCCATCGTTGAACTCCAAGAATTTGAAAAAAAGTAAAATTCATCCTCGAAAAATGTGGTGGTGAAAGAGAATCTATCAACGCCTAATAACGACAAGGGTTTAGCCCAGACTATACTGTTAAGAACTGCATCGGTTGTCGCTAGAATATTTTACGAGTTTTTAGTCACAAATCCTCAGATGTGATCTTTTTAGATAGGAAACAACGGGACTGGGATATTGAAAAAAGCTAGAAGAAAAGTTATCATCTCACGGGTGTCAAAATTGATTCCTAACTTTCCTTTGATTTTGTAACTCCCAATAGATGGCGCATATTTATCTTGTACCAGATGAATGACTAGAAACAGCGGATGCCAAATGTCTTATATTTACTATCAATTTTTTTAACCAAAATAAATGTTATCAAAACAATGGGTTTGTCCATATAAAACAATAAAATAATTAATGATGAATAAATGAATCTTTTACACACGTATTTTAGAGAACGACTTCGCAACGTATAACACTAGGCGAATTCCATCCGGAATCAATGAATACGTCTTTGGAAGGATAATAGTCTTACCGAATGCAGAGCTCTAT